GGAGCGGCACACCACCGGCCGGCTCTCTCGGGGGCTGCACAGGTGTTCCCCTTAGATGTTCCCCTTAGATGTTCCTGGTGCATGCCGTCTCTCTCCTCCTTTATAGTCCTCCTCTGCCAATCCCAACTCGGCTGCCCACACGCCGAGTACGCTGCTCTCCTCCAATCAGGAGCGAGTCCTACAGTTTATTGGCTGAACTGGAGGCATCTGTGTAGAAGCTGTTTTCTTCTCTCCCAGCGCCATATTGTGGGAGAGCAGATGCATAGAATAAGTCTTAATTCCAGTAACTCAGTCTAGTCCGGGTTGCTCCCCACAGATCCCCCTTTCTTTTTATTTTTTGGCGTTGATACGCGCCTGTCTTCGGTGTCCCGCAGCACACACTCTGCTCTACTTGCTAGAGTTGCCACAGGTTCTTACACGTCCTATCAATCAGGCAAACCGAATCCGGGTCCTCTCTTCGCCATGTTGTGAGGAGGTTTTTAGGCGCTGATGCGTGCCTGTGTTCGGTGCCCTGCAGCACATGCTCTGCTCTGCCTGCAGGGGCTTACAAGCCCTAACAATCAGGCAAACCGAATCCAAGCCTTCTCATTGCCGTATTGTGGGGGAGACTTATTAGTGTTGGTTCGTGCCTATCTTCGGTGACCTGCGGCGCATAAGCTGCTAGCCGCCCGCAGGTGCTCATTGCCTCACTAATCAGGCAGACCGAATCCAAGCTTTCTCATTGCCATGTTGAGGGGAGGCCTTTCTATTTCTCTATTTCTCTATCTCCGGGCATTCCTATTTCTCCCATTTTACTTCTATCTTCCAGCATTCCTATTTCTCTCATTTTACTTCTAAACTTCTGTTTCTCTTATCCCCGCAGCTTCCCGCTCTCATTTTACTTCTAAACTTCTGTTTCTCTTATCCCCGCGGCTTCCCGGCGCCCGCCCCGCGGCAGCTTCACGGCTCCGCGTGGCTTCCCGGTGCCTCGCCCCGCCGGCGGGCTCCCGGCTCTGCGCGGCTCGGCTTCGCGCGCACACTCCGCGGTCTCTCACTAGCCCTTTCGCGTCTGAACCACGGCCTCGCGCCAGCCCCGCGTTCCCTATCTATTCACGCCCCATGCTCTCTCTGCACGCGGCGGCTTCCGCGAGTCACACAGCGTAGCTTGCGTCTCCGCCACTAGCATTCAATCCAAGTTCCCCGGGCTAGCCTGGCGAATTCAACCCAGCTCACGTCTCCGCCCCACGGTTTGGCTTCCCGTCCTTTGCTCCCCGGGCTAATCAGACGGATCCCAACCAGGCTTACATTTCCGCTTCTGGTTTTAACTTTTCGCCCCCTATTCCTGGGCTAACTTGAGAATCCCAAAGTGGCTTTTGTCTCCGCCTCGGCCTGCCCCCCGCGGCTTCAATTTCCCTAACATTTTTCTCTACCCGGTATGTTTCCCCAAGCTTTCCTCCAACAATACTCCTCCCTCATTTCTCCTGGCCTCTCCCCACAGTCCGCATCCGAGTCTGTTTGTTCTAGCTTTCACTTTCGCTTTCGACCTTAGAGATTTCTCCCAGCTTCCCCCCGTAGTCCGTATCTGAGTCTATGCCTAGGCTTTCAATAACTTCTTCCGGCACCTTTTTCGTCCGGCTTTTCCCTAGACTGTTTGCTAGTCTCTCTCTCCGATATTTTCCCTAGGCTGTTTGCTAGTCTCTCTCTCCGATATTTTCCCAGTTCTTCCCGTTTCTTCCCTCCTAAGTTTGCTATCCGTCCTAAGTTTCCTATCCGAGTCACGGCACCATTATGTCGCTCCCCCTCTTCGTGGAGGAACGACACAGGACCCTGCGCTGTTCTTTTGTCTGCTCGGCCCTCCCCGGGTTTGCTGCTGGTTCTTCTCGGGTTGGCTACTGTCCCTTCCACCTCCGTGGAAGGGCAGTTCCCCCTGGCCACATTCCCCACTTCTGCAGGGGAGCGGCACACCGCCGGCCGGCTCTCTCGGGGGCTGCACAGGTGTTCCCCTTAGATGTTCCTGGTGCATGCCGTCTCTCTCCTCCTTTATAGTCCTCCTCTGCCAATCCCAACTCGGCTGCCCACACGCCGAGTATGCTGCTCTCCTCCAATCAGGAGCAAGTCCTACAGTTTATTGGCTGAACTGGAGGCACCTGTGTAGAAGCTGTTTTCTTCTCTCCCAGCGCCATATTGTGGGAGAGCAGATGCATAGAATAAGTCTTAATTCCAGTAACTCAGTCTAGTCCGGGTTGCTCCCCACACTGGTTCACTCCCCAAATGGCCACGATGGCTGGAGCTGAGCCAATCCAAAGTCAGGAGCCAGGAGCTTCTTCCAGGTCTCCCATGTGGGTGCAGGGGCCCAAGGACTTGATTTCCCAGGCCATAAGCAGAGAGGTAGATTGGAAGTGGAGCAGCTGGGACTCAAACCGGTGCCCATATGGGATGCTGTCGCTGCAGGCTGGGGCTTTAACCCACTGCACCACAGCATCAGCCCCTTGGTGAATTTCTGATTATCTTACTAGTCATTCACTGTTATTCCTTATTGTTGATTTTGAAGAAATTCATAGCATGAGAGAATTGGAGCATGATCTTTGGTATGTACACCAGAAGAGGACAAAAACTGATGCATTCAAGCTAGCCAGACCCTTGTTTGCTCAAGTTTTTCCTTATTTTTGGAAATCTTACAAGAAATTGTTCTCTTCAGAATACATTGCTGACTCTCAAATCATGGACTGTTGTAGTATTTGGAAGACCAAATGGAATGCATGTTCTTCTCCAGTGGAGAAAATGAGTGATCTATTTCCAGATGCTTCTGGAAAGACTTCTCACCGATGGTCCCCTTGCATTTTGACTAAGCTGTATTCTTACCTTCCCCTGAACTCTGTTATGTGTTTGCTCAGTGATTTTTTTAGACTTAGGCTTTTGTGTTCCTTGGCATTTTGTTACATGAATTGAGCATTATCTGATGAATTCATTGATAATCCATGTGAACAGCGCAATAATTCAGGTGACTGTGGTGCATTGGTTTTCCACCATAATGCAGAGCCATGTTCAGAACATGGGCTTTATTGTTAGCATTCCATTTGGTCCAGACCCGGCCAGTTAGTAGTTATATGATTAATTAGATAGTTAATTTCTTGACACCTAAGTTTTCCTCTAAAATCAGGCCTGATCGCCACCTCTACCTTGCACAGTGAAAAATATTGCACCTTGGTGGGCGGGCTGGCACAGAACCAAAAGCATATGGTAGGCCGGCGCAGCGGCTCAATAGGCTAATCCTCCGCCTAGCAACGCCGGCACACCGGGTTCTAGTCCTGGTCGGGGCGCCGGATTCTGTCCCGGTTGCCCCTCTTCCAGGCCAGCTCTCTGCTGTGGCCAGGGAGTGCAGTGGAGGATGGCCCAAGTGCTTGGGCCCTGCACCCCATGGGAGACCAGGAAAAGCACCTGGCTCCTGGCTCCTGCCATCGGATCAGCGCGGTGCGCCGGCCGCAGCACGCCGGCCGCGGCGGCCATTGGAGGGTGAACCAACGGCAAAAGGAAGACCTTTCTCTCTGTCTCTCTCTCTCACTGTCCACTCTGCCTGTCAAAAAAAAAAAAAAAAAAACATATGGTAGCTTTTACTGTTGGAGGATTTGGAAAAAAATTGTAATCACACATTTTATTGGGTGTGTTACGTGTTTTTAGACAAGTAGATGAAGGGTAAAATATTCCCATAGTCCCTGTTGGTTTTATTTCCTTTTTTTTTTTCTAAAGATTTGATTTTATTTATTTGAAAGGCATAGTTAAAAAAAAGGCAGAGAGAGAGAGAGATCTTCCATCCACTGTTTCACTCCCCAAATGGCTGCAGTGACCAGAGCTGGGCCAGTCTGAAGCCAGGAGCCAAGAACTTCTTCCAGGTCTCCCACGCAGGTGCAGGGGCACAAGGATTTGGGCTATCCTCTACTGCTTTCCCAGGCTATAGAGTGAGCTGGGTCAGAAGTGGAGCAGCCAGGACCTGAACCAGTGCTCATGTGGGATGCCGGCACTGCAGGCCTTGGCTTCACTTGCTGTGTCACAGGCTTCGCCTGGAGGCTCCTGTTGGTTTTCAAAGAACCAGAATTTTTTTTTTTAATTTTGTTAAAGATTCATTTATTTGAAAGACAAAGTGACAGAAGGAGAACAACAGAGAGAGAAAGAGATTTTCTATCTACTGGTTCAGTCCCCAAATGACTGCAACAGCCAGGGGTGGGCCAAGCCAAAGCAAGGAGCCCAGAACTTCATCTGGGTCTCTCACATGTGTGGCAGGGGCCCAAGGACTTGGGCCATCATCCACCACTTTGCTTGGCATGTTAGCAGGGAGCCAGATGGAAAGCAGCGTAGCTGGGACTTGAACCAGCACTCTGATATAGGATACTGGCGTCCCAAGAGGCAGCTTAACCTGCTGGCCTCAGATCCAACATTTGGATGGTAGAGCAGGTTTATAACTTGATGGTCGGACATTTGAAACATAAGGTTAAAAGGTATTTATATCAGAATTCCCATGTAATCCTTTTGGTTATCACATGAGCCTTTTCTTTGGTGGTGTTTATACACGAGTGAAAAATTCCAAATATGGTCTTGAGAGCTTTTCGGTGTTCACACGAAATGTCTGGGGTGTGTGGCACAGCAGTTGAAATGCTGCTCATGATGCCTGTATCTCATATTGAAGTGCCTGGGTTCGAGTCCTGGCTCTGCTGATTCCAGCTTCCTGCCAATGTGCACCTTGGGAGGCAGCAGTTGATGGCCCAAGTTCTTGGCCCCCTGCCACCCACGTGGAAGACCAATTGAGTTCCAGCGTCCTGGTCTCAGCCCAGCCCAGCCCCAGCTGTTTCAGGCATTTGGGGAGTGAAGCAGAGGATGGGAGATCTGTGTCTCTCTCTGGCTCTCTGCTTTGCAAATAGGTTAGAAAAGATAGCGTAAAATGAAATAGTGGCTGACTTTTACAGGAACATGGGCGAGTGGACGTGTTGGTTATGTTGGTAACAGTGACCTGTTTCCTTCTTATTTAGATTGAGCAACGTGGGCATTCCAGGCCTGTGGGCTTTTCACATCGGCAGTGCCTCCCCGCTGGACAATGTCCGCCCTGCAGCCGTGGGAGGAGCCCTGCCCGCTGCCCACTCGTCGACTCCCCTGAAACATCCCTTCAGCCATGCTGTGGCCTTGAAGGCCGACCACCCTGAGGACAGTCTGGATTACTATGATGAGAACGAGGAGGAGGTTGAATACCCGCCGGCTGAGCCCGAGGCGGCCACCGTGGACATTGCCTTCCACTCCAGCACTGACTCGGGGCCTGTAGCAGGTGGACTCTCTCCCCCAGACTCTGATCTGGCCTCCCCGCTACCTCCTCCAGCATCAAGTGAACGGCCATCCCACCTGCACTCAGAATCCACCACTGGGGAGCCTCCGAGCAAACAGGAGGCCCGGCTCCAGGAGGTACCGAGCCCGGAACGGAGACCCGGAGCTCAGCCTCTGGGCCAGACAGGGGCCGGGAGTGTGGCTGTGCCAGCAGTGGATGGAGACTCGGTGGCTCCAGCCCAGGAGGCCCCCACGCGGTACCCCGATGATGCGGGGGACACCCTCCCTCGTTACTCTGTCCCCAGCCTCTCGGCTCCCGTGGGTGGCGGGCGCTATGTGGCAGGAGTGGAAGAGGACATCACTTCCAACGCCGAGGGTGAGTGCATTCCGCTCGCATTGCCTGGAGCTGTGACTCCTCTCGCGCCTGGGAGCGTGGGTGCCAAGTTTGGCAAGAGGAAGGTTGGGATGGGTTTTCACTCACTGTTAAGGAGATGGAGTCAGTTTCCTTTGCCAAGGAAATCTTGGCAGGCAGATTCGCCTGGAGGCTCTTGACCATTAATAATGTGGGTTTTTTTTTTTTTTTTTTTAAGTAAACGGGCCTCGTGAGGTGAGCCTGGGAGAGCGGGCCGCCAGCGGCAGCTGGGCTCTGCAGGGTATTGAGGAGTTCAGCAAGGGCAGCGCGGCCGGAGGCTTCCTGCGCGGTCCGGCGGCCCAGGGCCCCAGGCCCCAGTTGGCAGCCGCAAGCTGCAGAGGCACAGAGCTGTACTGTGCTTGCCGTGGTTAGAGAGACCTGGGGGAGGTGTGTGGGGGAGGAGAGCTGGGCGGGGGTGGGGGGGGGTGCAGCAGATCGGGGACCACCTGTGTGTGTTGTGTCTGGTTCACGGCCCTGCAGCTGTGGCGTTCAGCTCCCTGGGGCCGCGTCCTTATTCTGAGTCTGGCAGAGCCAAGTGAGAGGAGAGAGGGACTCCTGAGCCCGGCCACGAGCCCCTGTGGCTTCCTCCTGGGGCTCACTTGTCATGGCTGCTCCTTCTTCTCAGCCAGGGCTGGAAAGACGGGACGGCAAACTGACCACAAGGCCGTTGCATTTGTTCCAGGCTCTGAGAGAGGTCAGAGGTGCGGGCTTTCTTCTGAGCCAACATTCCCTCCCCCAGCCTGCACCCCCCAGCTTTTCTGTTTCCTGTCCCTGTTGGGGGAGGAGGGAGGGCAAACACATGCTGACTCAGCAGAGAGAGCCTTCGGGGTGCTTCCGGCGTGGTGGTGGTCAGCAGGCGTTTACTTGGAAAAGGTGCTTTGAGAGGAAAGTGGCAACCCCTAAGGTGTAACAGGGAGAGCGCTGGTGTCCGATTTAACTGTGGACCCTGAGCTGAGGCAGTGTCTGGGGCTCGAAAGCCTCCAGTTTCTCACGACCGTGTTGGGGGGATTCTATGCGGGATGCACGTCTGTGTCTCAATTCATGGTTGCCGACTGTAGAAGGTTTAAAGCCGTGGGCGTGGGCCAGGCTTGGGCGGACCTCAACAGAGGCGCTTATTAGACGAGAGCTTCCCTTCCCGCGAGCCTGGGGCCGGGCTGCAGAGGCTGAGCTTGCTCAACCTGCCGGTCCCCCCGATTATCATTTCAAGGACGTTCAGGGTGAGTTTCCTATGGCTAAGGAAACGTTCAAGGCAGGTAGTCAAGATGCTCATGAAGGGCCCTGGAGGGAAAGGTGCATTCTGAGCATCGTTTGCATGGAGAAGTTGAGGTTTCCTGCACTGGAAAGAGTTGGGACTGCAGAAAAGCAGCCCCCTGGGGTCGTCCATGAAGGAGGTGCTGGGGCCGTGCAGTGGGAGAGGCTGCGATTGGCGCACCGGGCGCGTGCGGGGGATGCAAATGAACAGGAGACAGCAGCCTCCACCCTGGCAGCTGTGAGCCGTGACATTGACCAGCTGCTGGAGGGAGGCGGCCACTGACACCTTAGAAATGGCAAAATGCCTTTGAGGAAAGCTGTTGAGTCCACTGAGACCTTCAGAAAAAAAAAAAAAATCCAACTAGCAGACTTTGGATCTCAGAGAAAAAGCCAGAGCAGCATTTTGAAGAAGGGGGTCTAGGAGATGTACGAAGTCCAGAAGCATGAAATTGTAAGATAACACTGGGGGGGGGGGGGGGCAGTCGATCTTTTTTTCAAATAGAACATTGGTGCCCCAGAGGTCTGTCAGGGAAGCCTGGGTTCCCCCTGGGAAGCTGGGGTGCTGGGCTGGCCGAGACCCTAAGAAGCAGCGGTGAGGCCGCTGCCTGGCCCTCCACTGACGGAGCTGGAGGCACGCGGGCTCTGGTGCCAAGTGCCCTTCGGCTTCCTTCCCAGCTCTGCCGTGTGCCGGACACCAAACGTGCTCTGTTTGACCTGTGCATGGCTCGGCTGTAAAACAGAGACGACGCAGCCCTGGGGGCGGAGTTGGGAGAATTTACATCAGGCACGGGAAGCACCAAGCCCAGCAGAGTTTCCCTTTTAAGCCTCCTAGTAGACGTCTTGCTGAACCAGGATATTAACACTGGAAGTCCTAGAAAGATCTCGCCTCTCCTCTTCTTTCCAGGGGGTCTGTTTACAGACTTTTCCTTCAGAACTCCAGATTCTTTTCAGATCGTGTCGACACCAGCCAAGAGTCTGTCACACTCTATTTGGCTTCACGGATGTTGACCATTTGTTCTGCTTCTATCCGCCGCAGACCCTGCAGTAACACGGGGGACATAGAAGCATCATTTCTCTTGGGTGTCTTGTTTTTCCAGGGAGCCCCAGCAGCTCTGTGTGTGTGTGTATGTGTGTGTGTTTTAAGTTATTTGAGTGACGGAGAGACAGAGCAGTCCCATCTCATGGTTTTCTTCCCAAATGCCATCAATAGCTGGATCTGGGCCAAGTGGAAGCCAGGAACCCAGAACTCTATCCAGGTCTCCCATATAGGAGGCAGAGACCCAACTAATTGAGCCTTCCCTGCTGCCTCCCAGGGTCTGCATTAGCTGGAAGCTGGAATCAGGAGCAGAGCTGAATATTAGCCCGGGCATTGTGAAGTGGGGTGCAGAGACACAGCCAGAGAGATCTGCCATCTGCTGGGTTAGTCCCCAGAAGCCTGCAAGAGCCAGGGCTGGGCTAGGCCAAAGCCAGGAGCCCAGAATGCAATCCTGGTCTCTCACATGGGTGGCAGGGACCCAAGTATACTTGAACCATCATCTGCTGCCTCCCAGGTGTGCATTAGCAGGAAGCTGAAATCAGAAGCCGAGGCAGGACTCAAACCCAGGTACGCCCTGTGGGATGTGGGTGTCCCAGGCAGCGTCTTAACCACCCACATGTCCACCCCTAGCTTTTTCTAAGTTTTTCTTTCTTAGTTTCTTTCTTAGTTTTTCTAAGCAGCCCATCTTTCTGGGAAGAAAAGGTCACTTGTTTTTCTTGAGGTAGCAATAAAAGGTGTTAGAAGCAAACGTTGTTCCAGCTCACAGAGTGCCCCAGCACAAAGCCCTGTACCTCCTGGGACAGTGGGCTTCCCCTGCAGCCGGGCCGGTTCCTGTGGCTGGGCCAGAACCCACCGTGGAGAGGGCAGGCAGGCCCGGGACCAGAGATGAGTGCTGAAGTGTTTCTGGAAAAGTGGTGATGGGAGGATGGCTCAGGGTGAGGGCTGAGCAGGGTTTCCATCTTTGTTAAAAACTCCCTGTTGGGCCAAGCCTCAAGGACTTTGGCAGCTGCTGGTGCTGTTTCTCTTCGCTGTCCTCACCCCATTTTGCTTTCTATTAGAGGAGAGGCGAGGAGTAAAGAAATGCATTGCATGGAATACAAGAGTGAGAGTGTTTTAAAATCCTTGTGTTAGGATTCCTTTGGCAACTCCGAACCTCAGTGAACAGCGACCAGTAGAGCTGACTGGACCCTGGCCAGCATTCACCCCACCCCGTGCCCTTAGATGCCTGCACACCTGTCTCTCTGTTGCTGCAGATGGTGGGTCCCAGGCTGGCCGGCCACAGCCACCCGGAGTAAGGTTAGGAGAGAGATAGGTGACAACTAACCTCCAGGTGTGAGCTCTATTTCATCTTTGTCTAACACACCTGGGCCCCAGGTTAAACACACTGACTCCCCAGCTTCACTCTGAGCCGTAATCTGCATTTTTTTTTTTTTAGCCAGATCCCATGATGATTCTGATAGCCATCGAACTTGAGTACTGCTGGTTTATTGGGAAGATTATTTCATCTCCGTGACCCTCAGTTTTGTCATCTGTAAAATGGGTACATGATATTTTTACCAGAATGAGGAAGCCTACGGGGAAATGTGAGCGTTCTTCAAAAACAGCTTTGGAAAACGGAATTAAACAGAAGTTGATTTTGGTGCTAAAGAATTTTGAAACCCATGCATATAATAAGTTTTCAAAAAGTTCATGGAAAATTCATATTATGAAAAAAACTATGCATGGACTCCAAGATTGTACCAAATAAACTTATCTTGGAATTCCATTTCCCATGAACTTTTTGAAGTCACTTCATACACTGAGAACAGTGGCATAAAGGGGCAGACAACTGACCCCCGAGATGGAGACTTTTTCTTTGGATGTTCTCACTTGCCATCCCGTCCAGCCTGCAGCCTCCAGGTAGTGGACCATCTTTGAGTGGAGCTGCAGTCCCTACAGAAATTGGAGAAGTCACCTTGGCAGGGATTCTGGGTTTTCCTGCCCTGGAAGCCTGCGGCATCTCGTTTCTCCCTGTCAGGGCAGGTACCTGCCCACTGGGCTTCTGCCTGACCCCTGCCCCAAGGGACCTTCACACGGCCATCTCATGGCTCAAGGCCCTGTGAGCCGTAAGCACTGACCTCCAGTTCTCCGATGGCCAGCAGTGAACTCAAGTGCCTCCTCTGGCCTTCTCCCTACCCTGAGGCCACTGAACTCATTTGTGACACGGATGCACAGTCCCCAGCTCAGAAATGGGAGGCTGGTGACTCTTATGTGTTACCTCCAGGTCACAGGGCATGGCTAGAGGGCCACGGGGTGGCTGGGGTCCAACCTCACGCAGTTGCAGATGGCAGGTCTGAGATGGGCTTAGAACTGGCATTCAGCATCATCTCCAGTGACCCTGACACACTGGTCTTGGAATCGACTGAGGAGAAATGTTGCTGCCCCCGTGAACCCGAGTGGTGCCTGGCTGCAGCCGTAAGTCACTGTCAAGGCCGGGCTGAACTTCTCGGAGGCTCCTTGGCTGTTGGCTGAACACCTGTTCACGTGTGCACCTGCTTCTGCACAGCAATGAAGCTCCCCCTTCCCCAGTACTCTCTCTGTCTCTCGTACCTGCTGTAGCCAACCCACCAGCCAGCCTTGGGCAGATCTCCAGAATATTCTCAGATCCCATCCCTTCCTATCTTCTGTACCATCATGTCCCACCACCAGGACACCAGCTTGCCCTCAGTGTACCCTTAGTCAGATCAGGGTGTGCTCCTCCTCAGTGTGCAGCCCAAGCCCTCCCCTCCCTCTCCTCCCACCTGGTCTCAGGCCCCTCCTGCAGGGCACAGTGATAGCCTGGCCTCTCCTGTCCATGCGGCTCCCTCCCTGACCTCTGCACAAAACTCATCTTCTCCTGGCCTTGACCCTGGGTACACGGCCTCAGCTATCACAGCACACCTGTCTGTTCTCACCTGCTTGTCCTTCCATGCTTGCTTGCTGGCTTTTTTTTTTTTTTAATTTATTTATTTATTTGAAAGGCAGAATTATAGGGAGAGAGAAAAGTCTTCCATTTGCTGGTTCACTCCCCAAATGGCTGCAGTGGGCCAAGGCTGGGTCAGGCTGAAGCAAGGAGCCAGAAGCTTCATCTGGGTCTCTCACATGGGTGGCAGGGACCCAATCCCTTGGGCCATCTTCCGCTGCTTTGCCAACTGCATTAGCAGGAGCTGGATAGAAAGGGCAGCAGGGACTTGAACTGGTGCCCATTTGGGATGCTGGCACTGCAGGTGGTGGCTTAACCCACCACACCACAGCACTGGCCCCTCTTCCAGGCTTTCTTTTTCTGCACAATTCTTACCACATCCATTCCTACCAAGTAACTGTGTATTGACTGCTACCCAGGAAAATCCAGGTCAGAATATGAACTTTCTTGGTCACTGTTCTCTCTCGTTTCCAGCTCTGTCTCCGGTGCCAGGCCTAGAGTGAGTGCTCAGTCAATGTTTGTGGCATTAGTGAGCAAATAAAAGAAAACTGCAAGAGGCATTTACCTTCCGCCTAACAGGTTGCCTGTGTTGTGTGTGCCCTTGGGCACGAAGGCAGGCGTGGAGGAGGGTTTGTAAAGGCCCTGATACATTCCCCAGCTAGGGCTAGGACTGAATTCTCCTTTGCTGTCCTAGGGAGGGAAGAAAGTGTTCTTGGACCATAAGTTCCATCCTAAAAATACAATTTTCCATTAAAAAAAAAAAAAACAAACTGTTTGAAAAGATTCCCAGACTAGCTTACCAATAAGTAGTTAACCCATCGTAATTATAGTATGAGTCTTATGATCCTTTTGTGGGAGCCTAACCACCATTATTATTCTGTAAAACAATGCAGTCTGGTTTCCAATTAACTTATAAAGTTGTGTAGTTGCCGGCTGCACTGTGTTGCCTCTCCCAGTTTACCTACATGAAAGCTGTGGCCATGCCTGGTGCTTTCCTTAAAGGAGCCACACTCCAGGTGTACAGTCTCTGCTCCAACTCAGCACCCCCTGTTTCACAGTGTAGCCCTGGAATGGGGATTGGGGCAGGGAGTAGTTTTGCAAAGCCGCTGCCATGAAGGGAGCACGTGCACACCCATCCTCTCCTTAATTTGTGGTCAGAAGACCGTGCAGAGTTGGGCTTTACGTGTACATGCATTTTCTGAGAACTGTGGCCCTGTGCACCTGCCGCAGGTTACCCTCTCCCCTTGGTGCTGAGAAGTAGCTGAAGACAGTGAGACTTCAGGTCGTGCAGGTGTGAGGATGGGGCGCTGCCCTGGGAAACTGAGGCAGGCAAAGGGTGTTTCCTGAGGGCCAGCGGTGTGAAGGCACCTGGGTCCTTCTGAAGCTGTCATCCCTCACCCCACGTGCTCTGGGGAGTCCTGGGGGTGAGGCTGCTGTCCCGTGTGCAGGTCCCTTAAGGAACTGCTCCTCTGCACTGGTTGTGGCTTCCTGAACTGGGGACCCTGGAGACTGACACGCCACGTGGCATTCATTTCTTCTTGCTCTAAGTGTCTTTGTTCCTTACACGGAAATCATGTTCGCAGCAACCTCTATGACACTTTTGTCACAAGCCGTTCTATTCCTGTCTCGCCTTTTTTCACTTTCCTGTTTTTTTTTTTTTTAAAAGTTCTGCCTAACTTTCTATTTTTATCAAGCCAGAATCTCTCAGCCAAGTCTCCAGTCACTGACTCCATTCTCGCCATGGTCCTTATCAGATTTTCCACTTGGTCTTGGTGGTGTGTTTGTCCTGTCAACCCTGGGCTTGCTGCTGCCGGAGCACCTGTCTGGAAGCAGCGCTCAGCCCTGGTGCCGGTGCCGGCGCCGGCTCCGCGGCGGCTCTGCCTTCTCACCTGTGCCTCTGTTCCATGCGCGGCAGTGTTTGCAGGTACTCTGCTCACTCTGCCACGGAGCCTCATTTGGAAAGTCCGACTCAATGCTTTGCTGCTGAGGTCTGTGCTGATGAACCCAAGCACCTGATCGGCCCCTAAGCTAGTGCTCAGGATGTAGGCACTTGGTCCCCCGGAGCAGTGATGGAGAGTCCTGGTGAAGATCCTGGAGCCTGTGTCACTCCAGGGGAACCTCAGCTTCTTGGACTGCAAAGCAGGGATTAAAGGCAGTGCCTGCCACCGGGGGCTCTTGTGCGGCGAGTGCTTGTGGGGTAGCACCTGTGAGGGTTAAGCCTCATTCACTGTTGCTGTGTGTTGAGTGCTTGTGGGGTAGCACCTGGCGGTGTATTTGCTAATTCAGGACTCTGTAGGGCTCTATTGTTACATAGATGCTGCTCTATCTCCCTCCATGTCTTTGTTTTCTGTTCTCCCCTGAGACCCTGAGTAAATCGGGTTGCTTCCTTCCCCTCTGGCTTCCTCCTTTTCAGACATAAACCTGGAACACAACTCCAGCCTAGCTTCTCCTAGAGTGTCCCTCTTCCTCGGAGCTGACCCTCGGCGCCAGCACCAGTGTCTCACAGGAGGGCTGCACACCACCCCGGGGATGTGCAAGCAGAGGTGTGCATGGCTCCTTTGCCTCCTGCTGGCTGTGTTTGCTTGGCATATTCCTCAGGGTTCCTGGGGGAAGGCACCCTCAACCCCAGCCAGCCACACCTGCCCCTGCGCTGGGTCCCTAGTGAACAATGACAATTGTCCACACTCCCGTTTCTGTGTAGCACGAACAGTCCTCTTTCTTTAACCTTAATTTTTTTTTTTTTTTTTTTTTTTTTTAATGAGCAGAGTGTAAGGCCGCCACAAAACACACCAAACACCAGAGTTAAGGGAAAGGTTCATTGTCTGGTAGGGGAAGCTCAACAGATTGGGGGTTGGGGTGTGGGGGAGGAGTAGAGAGAGGGATCAGGAGAGAGAGAGCACTGGTGCTGGAAGCAGGTCCTGGTATACCTTAGGGGAGGGGCAGGGAAGCAGGAGCAGCGAATCCCATTAGGGTGGGGGTGGAGCTGACATCTGTGGCTGGGCCATGGGGCTTGGCACCAAAGCTCACTGTGCCTGGTGGCGAGGGAGGCCAGAGCCTGCAATGGCGCCACAGATGAGATGACAGCGTTTTACTAACACAGAGTAGGTCGGAGATGGAAGATCCAGCTCCTGGTAGGGAGCCCACCCTGGTCCACCACGGTTTTCCATAAACGCTCTTGGCTCTTGCATGGGTATTGTGCTGTGCCGTGTGCATCACGGGAGACCGTAAAAAGGGACCTAGAGCGTGTTCCCTGTTCTCTCCCACCGCTCCCCATACACTTTCCTTCTTCCAGGCCCTGCTGTCCTCGGGAGGGTGTGGGATGGGGGGGGCTGGCCAGTGAGACCAGCTGTAGCTCCTTGGTTTACAGTTCAAGGCTGCCTGTCTTCCTCCCAGGAGATCATTACTGTGAGACTGAACCCTGTAGAACTGCTTCTGTCGGGCCTTTCTAGACCCATAAAAATGGGGGTTTCGTAAAGTTCAACCCAGTGTGTAGTTCATGGTTGGCGTTCCTGTCGCTGCCCGCCGGACCCGGACGGGAGCAGCACGTGGCGCCGCTTGCCCGAAGACAAAGCCGGTTGGTTCTCCGAGCTGAATGTTACTCCTGTCTCTTGCCCGTCAAATCCCACGTGTTTTACAACCTCAACCGAGGGTGCGGCGTGCGTGGCGCGTGCGTGGTGGAGCTGGGAGCGACCCCTTACGCAAAGCGACTTTCAGTACGAGAGTGTTTTCCTTTTCAGTCTTCACGTACAACGCGGCCCACAAGGAAACGTGCGAGCGCAACCACGGCCAGTGCTCGGCGCACGCCTTCTGCACGGACTACACCACCGGCTTCTGCTGCCACTGCCAGTCCAGCTTCTACGGAGACGGGAAGCACTGCCTGCCGGAAGGTGATGGCCGGGGGCTGGGGCCGCCCCGCGCTGGTTGCTGTGCTGCCGTGAGCTCTGCTGTGTGAACCTTGCATCCGCCCTGCTTGGCTCAGCGCCAGAAACTTGCGCGCCAGAAACTTTTAGCGCTGCGTAAAGGAGGAATGAACAGTTTTGGGCTGGTTTCCCAATTTAAGGATTATTCAGAAATGTCCCTCCCTTCCCCCCTTTTATTTTTTGCCAGCTCATTAGCGTGGACAAGACGGAAGGGGGATGGGAGGAAAGAACCTCAGGATCTCTTTTTTTTCCCTGAAAATTGTCAGGAGTGAGCCATTATTTAAAAAAAAAATTTTTCCCCCCAAATCTTTACTTGAGAGGCAGAGTGACAGAGAGTGAGGGAAAGACAAAGAGGTTTTCCATTCACTGGTTCACTCCCCAAATGACCTTAATGGTTAGGTCTGGGCCAGACCAAAGCCAGGAGCCTGGAGCCCCACCTTGGTCTCCCACATGGATGGTGTGGGCCCAAGCTCTTGGGCGATCTTCCGTTGCATGGTAGCAGGGAGCTGGCTCAGAGAGTAAGCAGCTAGGCTCAAACCAGCGCTGTGATATGGGTGCCACTGTTGCAAGGGGCTCAGCCCCACCCACCCGCCAGCCCGCAGACCCTTTCTCAGTGGCCAGGTGGCTGGCGAGGGAGTGGTTTAGACGACTTGCTGATGATTGAGCAGGAGGAGCTGAGGGTGGGGTTGTGCTGTCTGAGTGCCTCTGTCCCCAGCCTGAAGGGGTGGCCCAGGCTGGTAACGTTTGCTGTGTTTTAGGGGCGCCTCATCGAGTCAACGGAAAAGTGAGCGGCCACCTGCGCGTGGGCCACACGCCCGTGCACTTCACCGACGTGGACCTGCACGCGTACATCGTGGGCAACGACGGCAGAGCGTACACGGCCATCAGCCACATCCCGCCGCCCGCGGCCCAGGCCCTGCTTCCCCTCACACCCCTCGGAGGCCTCTTTGGCTGGCTCTTCGCTTTAGAAAAGCCAGGCTCCGAGAATGGCTTCAGCCTCACAGGTGAGGAGGGCGGCGGCCAGAGCTGCTCCTTGGGGTTGTGTTCTGGGAAGGAGGATGTGGGTGCCCCAGAGCCTAGGTGCGGTGTGTAGCTTCCTGCCCAGACTTAGTGGGGTGGGGTGGGGGGGGTGGTGGATCTTGCACACCTGATGTTTCTGAAAGTAATGTCATCTAAACGCCCTTGCAGCTGCTCTGGGGAACGGGCTGATTGCCTTTGGAGCGGTTGTGTCCTCTCCCCCTGATTTGTTAAGGTACATTTGATTAGTTGCGTTATTATGCACACATGTGCAGAAGGCACCTGGGGAGGATTTTTCCTTCGTGGAGAGGAGGGGGTGCCTTTCCTCTTCTCTGACCCCCAGGTCACAAAGCCTCCCGGGTGTCCTGTGAGAACTGGGTTCTGGTGGAGTGGACCTGGGCCCTCTGCTTTTGTCACAAGCTCCCAGCACATGACAGTGCTTCTCAGCTAAGGCCTCCTTGTGTTGGCGAGGGTGGGGAGGCTACTTTGGGGGCTGCATCCCCGCCCCTCGGACAAAGCTTGCTTCCCTTAGTGGGCAGGAAACTAAGTGCAGGGAGAAAGGCTGTCTCTTTACTGCCCGCTGCAGAGCAGATAGCTCGTTCTGAGGGGTTTTCAGAAAGCTCATGGAATATGCGTATTATTAGGAAGCCGTGTGTGGACTTACTGAAATACCCTCAGGGAGGATCTTGCCTTTAATCAAGATGGAATAAGGATCAGAGGTGCATAGCGGGGAGGGTGTTTGGCACAGCTCTGAAGATGCTACTTGGGACGCCTGCATTCCCTATTGGAGTGCCTGGGTTCAAGTCTCAGCTCTGCTCCTGATTCCAGCTTCCTGCTAATACACACTTTTAATGTGTGCCCTTCATATTATTGTGGGTCACTGATGAAAAAAATGTTTCATTTTTTTATCTGAAACTCAAATTTAATGAGGTGTCATGGTTTGTGGGATGGTTTTGTTGCTGTGTCTGTTCGGCGAAGTCTGACAGCCCTAGAGCAAAGTCAAGACTGTTCTCAGGAAATTGTAGGAACTCCACCCCGCCCCTACCCTCTACCCAAAGAAGCAGGGTGAAACGCCCGCTCTTGGGTGGGTCCTTAGGGAATTGACAGTTGATGGGGCTCCATCAGGGATGTCCCTGGTCTCCTTGGGCAGCTTCTTCTCCTGCAGAAGTGGGCAGGAGGAGGTGTGTCCTGGTGAGGCCTGGAGGTGCCTCTCCCCTGCCATCCTGTACCCAATGGCTTTCCCTCCAGGTGCCACGTTCGTGCAAGACACGGAAGTCACTTTCTACCCAGGAGAGGAGAGGCTTCGCATCACTCAGACGGCCGAGGGCCTCGACCCCGAGAACTACCTGAGCATGAAGACCAGTATTCAAGGCCAGGTGCCTTACGTCCCAGCCAACTCCACAGCCCACCTGGCTCCCTACAAGGAGATCTACCATCACTCAGACTCAGGTATTGGTCATCAGGCTCCGCCTCTGCAGGATGGGGGTGGTATCTGCCGTACAAGATAGTCATGAGGATGCGGTGGAAAGTTTTGGAACAGTGTGTGACCCACAAAATGAGCACAGGGTCAAATTTACGCCTGTTGTGCAATCCATAGTGAGCAGAGGCTGCTATGTGCAGGAGTATCAGTATCCTTGCCTTCCGATGAGAACAATGTATCAGTACCGGTGTTGTCTCTGGGGGTAGTAAGGGTGGTGTAATTACAGTTTGTAACCATTCTCCCTGGGGCACACATGGGTATGGATTATTGGAATGGCTACTTGTCTTGAACATTGTTTCAGCTGATGATTTCAGCCTGCTGTAAAATCATAGACAGTGTTACATAGTGTTGTAAAATTAACCTGATAAAACTTCATGTTCAGGACTGGCTGTTTGAAATCCGTGTGGTTTGGGGTGGGGATCGGTGTTTGGCCTGTTGGTAAAACCACAGTTAGGACACCTGTGTTCCTCATTGGAGTGGGATTTTGATACCTGCCTCGGGCTCCCAATTCCACCCTCCTGTTAACACGGATCCCAGGAAGCATCAGTGCTGGCTCAAGTAGTTGGGTCTCTGCCACCCACATGGGAGACCGGGATTGAGTTTCTGGCTCCTGGCTCTGTCTTGGTCCAGTCTTGGCCATTGTGGGCATTGGGGAGTGAACCAGCAGATAGGAGTATGGACTCTATTTTGAGTGAGTAATAACTCTACAAGCATATTAATATCTCTGAGGAAGATTCCCTTAACATGTGTGGGCCTCTTTTCCCATGCTCAGGGTGGGAGTAACGTTTCCGTGCACCTTACACGGTGAGGACGCCGTCAGGTGTGATGTGTCCTATAAAATGCTGCCTGCCTGCCAGATGCTGCCGCGGTCTCAGCTGCTGTCCTGCAGCCACACCAGGAGCGGTTGGAGCTGTGCCTTGCCTTGGGCCTTTGCTTCTCCTGCAACGAGAGAGCTGGGCGCTAGCAGGAGACGTAAGGAAGAGAACAGGCAGTGCAGACCTGCGCTGTGCCCAGAATGGCCAGGGGCCAGCTAACTGGCTTGGGCTTGGCTCACAGACAGACTGAGGGAGATGGAAGGAACCACTGGAACCCTGGTGGATCGAATCAAGTCAGACTCAAATTCCAGCCACATCCCAGCTCTGTGTCTCGGGATGCTGGCCAGCCTCCACCTGCGGGATGGCAGTGCCAACCTCACGGGCTGCTGTGAGAGGCTGGCACCTGGTAAGCTTTGTACCTGGTGGGCACTCACAGTAGCACGTGTAGCAAGTCCCGCTCTCAGCCCTGTGACTCGCCGTGCACTCAGGTTCTTGGAATTCCCTCACATTTCCCATATAAACCCAGGGGCTCCCCAAGGGAGTGTGCTGTAGGAATTAGGTGGGAAGGCATGTAGGGAAAACCTGCCCCCCATAAACGTCTCGGCATTCAAGATGTTTACAAATTTACCAGCTTGCCTACGTAATGTGTCTGTCGCAGCTGTGACCTCCACGAGCTCCAGGGACTACTATCTCACATTTGGTGCAGTCAACCAAACGGGCTCCTACCGCATCCACCAGAACATCACTTACCAGGGGTGCAGGCATGCGCCGAGCCACCGTGCCATCCCCGCCGCCCAGCAGCTGACCGTGGACCGGGTCTTTGCCTTGTACAGTGAAGAAGAAGGTGTGCTTAGATTCGCCGTCGCCAATCAGATTGGCCCTGTGGAAGGTAAGGTTTTCTGCTGGTGTTGCTGCGGGGGAGGGCTGTTGAGGATGAGTGTGTGCCAGGCTCCGTGTGACATGCTGGCCGTAAGGAGGAATGAACACTGTCCCTGTCCTCGCGGTGGAGACAGGCAGATGTTGAACCTCTTGGAAAGTGTCCATGCCACGGTCCAGAAATAAAGCACAGAATGTGGGGCGCTCAACTGTGTGCCTGCATCCGGGTTCTACCTGTGAAGAAGGTGGAGCCAACCTGGGCCAGGTATTTGTGCCCTTGCTTCTACTGGGGTAAGCGCAGGGTGCTGTGTGCCTAGTGTGGAGGTGCAGGGAAGTTTGAGCTAAAAATTAAAGGACCAGAAAGATTCAACCAAACCCAGTGGGGCAAAAGGTCACAGCCTGGGTAAATACAACATAATAGAAATTCCTGTTTGAAGAGCTTTCAGTGCTCTGAGATTAAACACTGGGTGCTTTCCCGTTAAGATCAGGAACAAGCCACGGATGTCTGCTCTTGCCGCTTGCATTTGACATGGTACTGGAAGTTCTAGCCAGGGCCGTTAGGCAAGAATGTTGAACAAAGGCACCCAGATTGCAAACGAGAGGAAAAGTTATCTTTATGCTCATGCATCACGGATGTGTTTTCCTAAAGTATTTTTTTTCCTATTTCTGTTTACTTTTCAGTTTGTTTTTCAAATAAATATTTTTAACTAGAGGGAGAGAGAAAGCAGGAAGCAAAATACATGTACTGGTTCTCTCTCCAAGTGCCTGCAACAGCTGGGACTGAGCTGGGCTGAAGCTGGGAGCCCAGCACTCAATTCAGGTCTCCCCCCTGGGTGGCAGGGACCCAGTTATGCTGCTTCCCAGGGTCTGCGTTATCTGGAAGATGGAACTGGAACTGGATCTAGGTAGTGAACCCAGGGACCACAGTGCTGGGCATCTTAGCTGCTGAGCCAGCACCTGTCATCTTTCATGTAGCAAATTACAGAAATTGCTAAACACTACTAGAACTAATGACTAACTCACTTCAGTGTTGCAGGATACACACTCAATAGACAAAAATTATATTTTATTTTGCAATGAGTAAACTGAAAATGAAATTAAGTTCATTTCAAAAATAAAGTGCTTAGCAATAAACTTTTTTAAAAAAAGATTCATTTTTCATTTGAAAGTCATAGCCACACAGAAAGAAGGAGAGGCAGAGAGTGTGAGAGAGAGATAGAGGTCTTCCATCCAGTGGTTCACTCCCCAGTTGGTCGCAACGGCCGGAGCTGCACCAATCTGAAGCCAGGAGCCAGGAGCGTCTTCCAGGTCTCCCACATGGGTGCAGGGGCCCAAGCACTTGGGCCATCTTCCACTGCTTCCCAGGCCATAGCAGAGAGCTGGATTGGAAGTGGAGCAGCATGGACTCAAACCAGCATCCACATGGGATGCCGACACTACAGGCAGCAGCTTTACCACAGTGCTGGTCCCAGCAATAAAACTTTTTAAATATTCATTTAGTTATTTGAAAGTCAGGGTTAGAGACAGAGAAAGAGAGAGATCTCCCATTTGCTGGTTCATTCCCCAGATGTCAGCAATAGCTGGGGTTGGGTCAGGCTGAAGCCAGGAGCTTCATCTGGGTCTCCCATGTGGGCGCAAGGGCTCAAAGACTTGAAACCATCTTCCCATGCTTTCCAGATGCATTAGCAGGGAGCTGGATGGAAGTAGAGCAGCTGGGACACAAAAAGGTGCCTGTATGGAATATTAGCATCTCAGTTGGCGGCTTTACCCAGGAACAAAACTTTTAAGTAGTGCAATACTTGTTCAAAAACAATGTAGGGGGCTGACGCCGTGGCTCACTTGGCTAATCCTCTGCCTGCGGTGCCAACACCCCAGCTTCCAGTCCCAGTTGGGGTGCTGGGTTCTAGTCCCGGCTGCTCCTCTTCCAGTCCAGCTCTCTGCTGTGGCCTGGAAGGGCAGTGGAGGATGGCCCAAGTGCTTGGGTCCCTGCACCCGCATGGGAGACCAGGAGGAAGCACCCGGCTCCTGGCTTTGGATTGGCGCAGTGCCAGCAGAGGTGGCCATTAGAGGAGTGAACCAATGGAAGGAAGACCTTTCTCTCTGTCTCTCACTGTCTATAACTCTACCTGTCAAATAAAAATTAAAAAAAAAAATGTAGGTTTGAATTTACAAATTTAAAGACCCAAATACAAAGGTAGCTCAAAAATTTTGTGGAAAAATGGAATTAAAAGATAATGTGGATTTTATATTAACTTTCTGTAGACTTCTCACCAGTGGGAAGAGGTTCTGTGTTCATGACTTGAAAGACTTATTATTTAAAGATTTATTTATTTGAAAGGCAGAGAGTTATGGGGTGGGGGAAGGACCAAGGATCTTCCGTCTGCTGGTTCACTCCCCAAATGGTTGGGCTAAGCCAAAGCCAGGAGCTTCATCCAGGTCTCCCATGTGGCTGCGGGGCCCCAAGCACTTGGACCATCTTCCACTACTTCCCCAGGCCATTAGCAGGGAGCTAAATCAGAAGTGGAGCAGCTGAGGCTCAAACTGGTGTCCATATAGAATGTGGGCATCACAGATGGAGGCTTAGCCCACTGCACCTCAACACTGGACTTGAGACTTAATATTATTAATATGACAACACTGCCTATATTCATCTGTCAATACAGCATAACCTCGGCCGGCACCGTGGCTCAATAGGCTAACCCTCCGCCTTGCGGCGCCGCCATACCGGGTTCTAGTCCCGGTTGGGGCGCCGGATTCTGGCCCAGTTGCCCCTCTTCCAGGCCAGCTCTCTGCTGTGGCCAGGGAGTGCAGTGGAGGATGGCCCAAGTGCTTGGGCCCTGCACCCATATGGGAGACCAGGAAAAGCACCTGGCTCCTGGCTTCGGATCAGCGCAATGCACCGGCTGCAGCGCGCTGGCCGCGGCGGCCATTGGAGGGTGAACCAACGGCAAAAGGAAGACCTTTCTTTCTGTCTCTCTCTCTCTCACTGTCCACTCTGCCTGTCAAAAATAATAATAAAAATAAAAAATAAAAAAATACAGCATAATCTCTATCAGAATTCCAGCTGGCTTCTTTACAGAAATTGGCAAGCTGATCTAAAATTCACATGAAAATTCAAGGAACCCAGGGCAGACAAAACAATCTTGAAAAATCATGAATTTGGAAAACGCATCCTCAATTTCAAAGCTTAGAGTCATCAAAATAGTGTAGTCCTGCCCTCAAGATATACAAATCAATGTGACAGAAGTCAAAAACCAAAATAGATTGTCACAAGTAGAGTCATTGGCTTTTTAGACAAGGATGCCAAAATAATTCAGTGGGGGAGAATAGTCCTTTTTTAAACGGATGGTGCTGAGATAACTGAGTAGCACATGCATGAGAATGAAGGTAGACCCCGACCTCACAGCATCTGTGAACATGAATGCGAAATGGACCACAGATGTGAGAGCTAAAACCTGTAGAAGAAAACACTGGGGCAGATTTTCATGAGCTTGAATTCGGTGCTGATTTCCTAGGCAAGACACTAAAATTAAGGACAACGACAAAAAAATTGAGTATCATAAGGATGACATGTTGTAAAAAAATTATGTGTTGTGTTTCAAGGGACCTTAACAAAGTGAAAACGCAGCTGGTAATGAAAGAAAGTATTTGTAAATGATATTTAGTAAATATTTGCTCTAGAACAGAAAACATACTCATACAACTCAGTTGGGCACTTGAATTAAATGATATGCTCAGGGTTTGGGTGGGCCTTTCTCTAAGATGTATCTGTAAACATCCTATAAGCAAAAGAACAAAGTGTCAGCATCCTTAGTCATCAGGGGGATGCAAATCCAAGCCACTTTGCATCATGTGGATGATTGCAACCAAAAAATACAGTAGCAAGTGTTGGTGAGGGTGTGGAGTAAATGGAACGAGTGCAGGTGTACAATGGTGCAGCCACTCTGAAAAACAGAATAGCAGCTTCTCAAAAAAAAAAAAGTTCAATGCAAAGTTGCCATGCAAGCAGTTGTACTCCTAATTCTGTGCTCAAAATAAATGAAAACAGGTCCCCATATAAAGCACATAAATATTCAAAGCTGCCTCAGTAGCCAAAAGGTCAAAGGAGGCTAAATGTCTACTGATGAGTCAAGAAAAAAAGTCCGTGCATACAAAAATGTCATTGAAATGCATGTTTACTATGAAAAGACTGTGCATGGATATCTTTGGTTTTGCACCAAATAAACTTTTCCATATACCCTTTAAGGCATACCATGGGATGTTACTTAGCCATAAAAAGTAAAGTACTGATGGATGCTGCAGCATGGATGAATCCTAAAAATATTTACACCAGGGCTAGCGTTGCAGTGCAGTGGGCTAAGGTGCTGACATTCTTGTGGATGGAGTTTCTGGCTCTGGCCTGGCCCAGATCTTGGTGTTGGAAGATTTCTTTTCTCTATCTCTCTGCCCTTCAAATAAATAAATCTTACAGGAAAAAAAGCAGCCAGTCACAAAGAGCAGCATTTTGTATGATTGCGCATGTCTGAAATGTCCAGACAAGGCAAGTGCACAAAGAGCCCATTTTAGTGGTCACTCGGGGCTGGGGTGTAATAGGATGAGTTAATAGCTCAAGGGTCCAAGGTTTCTTTTGGAGACAGTAAAAATACTCTAAAATTCATTGTGGTGATGGTTGCACACTCTGAAAATACTAAAACCATTTAGTTGTACCCTTAAAATGAGTGGGTTGTGTGGCATGTGATTTTTATTTCTAAGAAAACTATTAGAGCAACAAAAGTCTAAAGCAGCGATTCTTGGCCATCAGTGAACCTGGGTTTAAAAATGCAGCTCTAACGGTGCTCAGCCAGAAAGACGTGGCAGCACCTTCAGTGCGTGCTGCTGAGTGAAAGAAGCCTTCAGAAAGGGTCGCACAGTGTGGGAGTCCAACCAGGTGACACTCCGGACAAGGTGCCACTGCTGAGAGGCAGCAGAAAGATGAGTGACTGTTGGAGCTTCAGGAGGAAGGAGGGAGGGGTG